TGGCCCAAGTGTCAGGCGGCACCAAAAAAGTTGCCGCAGCAGAAAAGTAAATTAAATAAATTTATGCCCAAGGGCTGCCCTGCCCTGTCGTGCCCTGCCTCGCCTCGCCTCGCCTCTCTGTGTGCCCGACCACTGTCTATTATCTAAACATTAAACCTGTGCTGTGTGCTGTGCTGTGTGCTGTGCTTGGGTTATTGATACAAAGTCTGTACAAATTGAAAATGAAAATTGTTTAGCAATTTAATGATTGTGCAAACTTTTCAGCGCTCGAACCCCCATTAAAATTATATTATATGATCCGGACCATTTACCATTTGCTTGAATTTGCATTCAGCTTTCGGAGTTTTGTTTTGTTTGCTTTAAAGACGAAATTTGGCCGCCGATCTGGCAAATGATTTCGATACGCAACTTTCGCCTTGGACAACTTTTGACACTTTGCCACAAATATAAATTGTCGCAGGCGGAACAACAAAAAAAAAAAAAGGAAAGTGTCGAGGCTTTTGCGGCTGCAACCCAAAAGCTGGCAACACTCATTTTTCACACACTACGCACAAGGAGAGAAGGCGATGGAGGATTAGGGGGCAAGGATTGATGCCCCCACACTGCAGTGTGCTGGAGCCGAAAAGATGCTTGACTGATTGTGCCGCGTTTTGGGGCAAAAGTTTTTCGCATTAACTTCCGCTGCACGCCGCGTCGCATTTGAATGCGATTTTGATTTGTCATTCGCCGCCTTGCAACAAAAGCCGACGCCTACTTGGAGCTGCTCTCCAACTTTTTCCACCATTTCCGTTGCAGCAGTGAGTCAGGCGCCCACTTGTCGCCGATCATTGGTTTCCGTTGCCGTTGCCGCTGCTGCTGCTGCTGCTGCACTTACTCCAGGTCCAAGTCCAAGTCGAAGTCAAAGTCGAACTGGAGACGTGCACAAGCGCATTTTGAAGTTTATGAAAAGGCCGCGGCAAAAGGGACAGAGGACCCAGGACCCAAGACCCAAGACTAGGACCAGAAGCTGAGCCAACTTTCTGAATAGATTAAGTTGAAAGTTTTGCTCATTTTCAGCATCGCCCCAATAGAGGAACAAAATTATATGCCCCCCTCCACCATCCACTCGAAAAATCAACGTAATGATGTCGCCGACAGGGGGGGCCAGGCCTGGCCAGGCCAGACAGCAAACCAAAATCAAAACTTTCTCAAGTGTCATTAAAAGTAACCCCGAAAAAAAGGAGTCGGTAGAGTGGTATAAGGTTTATTTCCATTTGCTGCAGTCCCGAACTACTATCAACTATTATCTTGTTGATTTGCTTTCTCGCAAATGGACTTTTCCCTTTTTCCCGATCACGGTTTTCATACCCAAGTTCATTACAAGTTTTTTTAATGAAATTTTGGGAAAATATTAACGCCCCTCCACTTAAAGGTTGGGTCAAACTCTCCTACAAAGGCCTAGTTAATCCTTTTGTTGCACCCAATGTAAAGATGCCAATTACTGACAGAAGGCCATGGGCCATGACTCACACAAATCACATAAATTTGAGTCATGAATGGCGGTGGTGGTGAGGGGTGATGGCAACAATCTGAGTATCATGAGTAACCGCAGCAATCATCATATCGAATATTGGCCGAACGTGTCCATGTGCTCTGATAAGGATGGGGATAAGGATAGAACTCATGGCTCGTAGCCTTTCCAATCAAATTGCCCATTGTCCGGGGCTGCTTTGTTTTATCTTTCACTTTATTTATTTATGAATAAGAATATGTAGGAGCCTCAGCATATTGCATGTAATTAATCAGTGGCATTGGCACGAGTCTATTGGTCTGGTTTTGTGGCAACTGCATCAACAAACAGGCCCAATTTAAGCCGGAGCACCGCAGTCGGATAATTGAATTTCCGTTTTGGACGAGTACCATAACCGAGCAGGAGGAGTAGGACTTCAGGCACTTCAATATCATTGGCCTTCCTTTATGGCCAACATCAGCTCGGTCTCAGTCTTGGTGCTGCAATCGATGGGTTTCTACGAATCTCACTAATTGGGCAGCACAAGGAGAGCTACTACTTATGGCCTGGTGTCGGCCCCTTGACTTGGATTTTATGTTGATCCTTTGACCAGCCAAATAATTAATTAGCTGCATTAAAACAGGCCCACATAGCCAGAGCTGAAGCTAGAAGGAGGAGAAGGAGCGATGTGCAAGTGATTGGGCGATGTGTTTTATGGCCATTATAAGAATGCCATCTTCAGAGCAGGAGAAGGATATATCGAATGCCGCCTCATTATATTGTCTAATCGGATTGTGGGTCCGGCGCTGAATAGAACTTAGTGTGTGGCATATTATATGAATGTTCAAAGGGTAAAGCAATAATTGATCCGATCCGCTGATGGGAAATAGGACAAGTGTGCTTCTTGGTTTCGGGTAGGGTAGAGGTGGGATATGATTAAGTAAGAGAGCCCGGCATGGACCGGGCAGAGGTGTTGATTGATTTGGAAACTCAAAGGAACGTAATTATTCTGAGGGGATTATGATTTCTATGGCCGAGTCGGGCATATCAAAGGTATACAATTAATTGAAGGATTACATTTGCTTTTGTTCCATGGCCCTCCCCCCACTCAGATTTCGACTTTTATAATGAGTTTCCCTCGATATGAAACAAAGAAAAACCACAGAAACTTTCAGCATACACAAATACATAAATACATACATGTGTATGTACGAAGCTTTATATAAATCATAAGATAAAACCAAACCACTTGCATTTCATGGAAAAGTTTTGTGTTGTTGGAAAGTTAAGTCGGTTAATTAAAACCGAGAGGAGGGTGAGAGGGTGAGGCTGCCCGAGGCTAAGGGCAAAACTGTTGTATATATTTCTGCTCCTTAAGCAGGGACTAAATGAAAACTCACCCACGAGAGCTGTTAACCTGATGATGAAAAGTAGGTAAGAGGAGGAGGAAGAGGCGCCAGCGACGACGACGACAACATATTTGCGATTATTTCCCACGCGGGCACTCAAAAAATAAGCAGCAATAAATTAAAAGGCAAAAGACGACGACGACAAACATCGACGATGTCCTCCTCCTCCCTTCCTCCTGCTGGCAGAATGGCAATCTTTGAAGCTCCGTTTCCTACCTAAACCCCAAGGCAAAACACCGAACAGGGCAGAGCAGACAGAACAGAGCAGAGCAGCGCAGAACAGAAGCAAGTAAAGCGGGAGCCACTTCAGGTGTAAATGAAAAATGTAATTATTTCGTAGATTTGCGCTTTGGCCATAAAATAAACATGCGGAAGGAAGGAACATTCCACTATTTGCCCATGGAGAGCCGCAGGGACAGAACGCGCCCCAAAATCCAGGGGCACACCACCCCCCCCCCCCCCACCCATAGAGCGAAACTTCAAAAGGGCAAGCCCTCGAAAATGTTGAATGTACATTTGGTCCCCTGCACTCGAATAAATAGTTTCTGGCGAAATGAGTTCAACGTTTTGAGCCAGCTGAAAGTCTCCAAGAAATGAGAGCAAATAACATTGGCAGTGAGGCAGGGAGGGAGGGAGGCTTGAGGCAGATGAAGGAAAGCCATGGCAAAAGGCAGAACAGAATCTGAGGTAGACACAGAGGCAGGAAAAGGAAAAGCAATGGCAGAGCCAAAGGTAGGGACGTGGCAGAGGCAGAGTCACCATTCTGATGTTCATTAATTAAGAAGGTGGCAAATGAAAAGCCTGCGAAACAAGCTCCCAGTTCCAGCGCGGGGTGGATGTCTCTTTGGTTACTGACCTGAGTCGTACATATAAATATATATATATATATATATATATATATATGTATATGTATATACTCGTACAAAAACCGTTTTATTTGCTTTCACTTGTTCTGCTCTAATATTTTTTTGGGGTATTCGTTGGGCGTTTGTTTACCCCGACAGCCTCCGCGTGCCACAGCCCGTCGACAGCTGCTTGTGGCTTGCCACGGCTCCCCATTGCATTTGACTGTTGTTGGCGCTGGCTGCCCACGCCTATCCCTCCCTGCCTACCCCTGCTTCAGCACAAACAAAAAAGTCGAAAATTAAATTATTAATTTATTGCCCGTTGCTCAGGGCTACCACCCCCGCCCGGTTTCTATGGTCCATTCACTCGTGCTTTCCGAAAAGCAGAAAAGAAATAATTCTCGTTGCTGTGCTCGCGGTTTCCTTCGACTCGCTAATTATTCATAAATTAAGCGCAGATAGGCTGCCTGGGGTGGCAGGACTTCACTTGCCGTTTGCTTGTTTATTTAACAATTTTCTGTTTGGGGGGCAGCACAAGTGTGCCAAAATGTTTTTTGATTGAAGTTAATGTGCTAGTCGGAGTGCGGATCGATAGTGAGGATATATGTAAAAATGGTAGGGAAACAGAGTGGAGCTGAAAAAGCTATAATGAGGTTGATTATGTGCCAGGGTGCATAAGCTAGAAGATATTTAAGAGCATAAGACACACTAGAATACTGAAATAATCGCCGATAAGGACCCAGCATTGTACCTCGGCTGCACGAAGGCCTTGTGATTCGATTCATGGGCAAATGGAAACTGTTACCCAGTTCCCTGTGATGGCAGCAACAACTCCACTGATTCTACATCTTATTTGTAATGGGATTTTATTTTCTTGTCATACTTGTAACTGGAGAGTTTTAGCTATACTTAATAATAATATTTTCTGTGATTCAATTTGTATTATGCCGCCGCCAGCGTATGAAGAACCCAATGCAGATGGACGCCCCCAACGAATGCGGTATAAGTGGGTTCTGATGATCCGCATAGCTGCATTGATTTTGACTATTGTGACTGGGGGGATCCTCATCGTTTACATTTACTTAAATAACAAATGAAGCCACCCACAACGGAGCCAAATATAAATCCACAACGGAGATCAACTAAAGGAATATTTGTTGTTAGCTACTTAATCTAGCTTAAGCCTAAAACTAAACCAAAAAAATTATAATAAATTATGTGAGCTGGCCTTGGTTTGAATTAAAATTCTCTACTTACGATATTTCTCCAAATGGGGTGAATGCATCTTTCAATTGCTGTGTCTCAATTTCGGCACTCAAGTCGCCCACAAAAATGTGAAACTGTTCTGTAAAGACAAACAAAAACAAAAATGACAAATTAGCAGGCAATTAAAACGTGACCAAAAGCTAAACCCAAGTTGCTTTATTCCACGGGCAGCAGACGATGATGGCTCAGACAGACAGATACTTGAGATCCCCCCATGTGTGTGCTTGCCCGCCTCAAGAGGCAGCTGACTGAAATCGCAACGTGCAATTTCCTTCCGTCCCGCTGCAGACCCAGCCCCAGACTGGACTCGATTTTGGTTCGGTTCGGTTCGGTCAGCGGCATCTGACTCGTCGGCGTGGTCGGTGTCTGTTGCTGATTTGGGGCTTGACATTATCAAATGCCGCCTGTCACAGGGCTGCTCCAGTGACTTCCCCACCCCACACCCCACGACTGGCCTGGCCTGGCCTGTCTGTTTGGTTGTGCTTGTCACTCTCGTTGCCACTTTGGTTGCCGCCGCACTGGCTCTGGCTCTGGCTAGGACTATTTTCGGAACATCCAACCAACCCATGCCCATTCCCATTGCCATTGCCCTGCCCAGGAATTGGTGCTGCTGCTGCTGCTGCTGCTGCTCCGGCTCAGATTGCAATGTGCCAACAGCTGAGCGCAGGTGGACACGAGTGGCATCCATGGCCGGGCACAAGTGCCGGCAACGTGTCATGTTTGTATGCACGCGCTGAGACCAACTATCTATTGCCCACTCATTGCCAGGATGTGTCTCTCTGGTGAAGGTCCTATTCCTATTCCAGGCCGGTGCCCGTTTCGGCGCTTGTGTAGGGACAGGGACTGCGGCTGTCCTACTCTGGGAATGGTGCTGCTTTTCGGCTCGCGTCCGTGCCAAAATGACATAGTTTCGCATTACAAGGAAATTGCACTTGAATGTGCCAGTCGGTGGTGGGCGTGGCTGGTGGCTGGCTGGCTGGCTGGCTGTCCATGAACTGTAACACCTCCTCCCCTGACCCGACCCTATCCGACCCTATCCGATCCGGCCCTGTTCCCTCATCATGTGTGCAGTGGAAACAGAGTTGACAAATATGCCAAAAAAGAAAACCCCCCGGCGACATGAATTACAATTCTGAAGAGGGAGGTTCTCACCCACTTCAGCCACCCTCCCACCCTGCTTATAGCCACGTTTCAGCTGCGCGTCGTCCCGTAGCTGTTCGTCCTGTCCGTTCGTGTGTCTGTCTGTCTGTCTGTGCGTCCGTCCGTCCTTCGGAGCGACAGGAAGTTGTGCTAAGCGTCATTTCCGTTGTTTTGAGTGATTGCAATTGAGATACGGTTTTTGTGGTTTTCTTTTCGGGTGGGTGGGGGTACCACTGGGGATCGAGTACCAGAGGGAGGGAGATCGCAGGACTGGTCTGTGTCCGGCCAGAAGCACGTGTTCTGCTGCTCGCTCTCGTCGCCCCTCAGCGCTTAAGCGGTTTAAATTGCGAACGGATGATTTTGGATGTGGCCTAATGTGCTGTAAAATGTGACCTTAAAGAAGGGATTACGTGCCAGGCAAATAAATATTTGGCCTTACGCAGGCCGTGGCATGCCATGCCATGGAATATGTTGCCATTTTGATGTTGACACTCGAATGCCTTTATCGCGGCGGTAATAAATTGTATTGCAAATCCCCCAAATCAATCGTTGGCCAATTTATTTTATGCAATCTCTGCATCTGACAAATTCTATCTCCAACCCCAGAATCGCTTTTTTTTACCCCCCCCACCCAACGCAACAAAACAATTTATTGCCCTAACTAACAAAACTGCAGCTGCAATCGGGTATGCATTTACTGCACTCCACCCGTCGCTTTACCCCAAAACGAAGCCGAAACAAAACCCCACAGAACCCACAGCCCCATCCCATCCCATCCTATCGGATCCAACAATAGCCCCATTAAATCTGTCCGTTACAAATTGTTGTTGTTTGGTCAGTCGCAAAACAATTTGAACAGAGCATTTTATTTGCCGGCGGCAGATATTTTTTGGTTTATTTTATTTTTGGTCAGTTTGGCCAGCTATGAGATGGACCGGACCGGAGCGGATCGGAACGGACCGGACCCAATGGTCCGGGCCAATTAAGTTCCAGTCCATAAAATTTGCATCAAAAAGCGACCATTGACCTTTGGGCGTGTCTATAATTAAGAGTCGGCCCCCCCCCCGAAAATATATATATATATATAGTATATGAGTATACCCATCCAGGAGACGAGCCTTGCAGCTCAAAGTCTCAGAGGCAAGGCATTACGCTTTTGGGGGCTCCACAATTAAAGAGTCGATCCATTAAAAATGTGGGCCAACAGCAGGCAGCCAAAAGCTAATGGCCAAAGGAAATTCGCAGCCAAACACCAGGGCTTGAAAATGAGCGAACATCAAAAACAGGATGAGTAGCGAAGCAGCAGGCAGGGGGCAGTTACAGGAGCAGGAACTGGGAAATGTAATTCGACATAAAAATATCGTAAATCTTAAATTAGAAATTTCGCACATTAAAAACTTGGAAATTGCATTTGGTTTCTGGATTCAAGTTTGGGCCCCCGCTCCACCATTCATGAAATCTGGCGGCAAAAGGCGAAAAATCCCAGAGAAAAACACCACAAAAAAAAAACACCAAAAACAAAAACAAAAAATAGCTGGACCCTCTGTTTTTGTTGGAAGTTGAATGAAGGATCCCTCTGGCCCTGCTTTTGGGTCGGCCTGCATAAAGTCCATTGGCGCACATTTTTAATGAGTTGGACATAAAAAAGTTTGAGCTTTTCAAAAGCTGGTGCCGAAATGAAGCCAATGAAACCTTCCCAGAGAGAGAGAGAGAGCGAGAGCGAAAAAGAAAGATATATCCAGAGAAGACATAGCCAGAGAATGAGAGACTCAGAGAGAGAGATAGAATCTTGGTCTGTGGGCCATTGTCTCTGTGGGGATTTGAGTGTTGTCCTGCTTGTCGTCTGCTGTTTTATTGCATAATCGTGAGTCAATCAGCGACCTAGGGGAGCCGGGAGCCACCCTTATCGTACCCAACCCCATTGTGGGATGGGATGGGTATGCGTCTCGTTGGTTCGTTCGACCTTCATCAATGCACGTCAGCTAATAAATACGTGCTGCATTTCGCCCTAACCTCCCCAGAGAGAGAGACACACCGAGGACAGGGAGTGCCGTGCCGCTCCGGTGCCCCATGCAATTAAATTTCACTTCAGTATTTCCAGTTTCGCTTTAATTTGCCAAATTTAATTGAATTTTGAGAACATAAAATAGCGCATACGCCCCTGCCTCTGACCCCTGCGCCTGTCTCTGCCCAAGTCTCTGCCCCCTGCCACTGCCCCCTGCCCTGTGCAGTTCAGAAAATCCAATTGAATTGCGATAAAAATTTTGTGCACTAATTCCGTTGCAAATTATAGATTTGTATGGTAATTCGCATCAATTTGACGGCATTCCTAATGCACTCGATCATCAAACAAATGCAAATCGTGGCCATCGAAAAACTGTTGTGTGTGTGTGTGTGTGTGTGTGAGTTGCTCTTCGAATTCAAAAAGGTTGTAAAATAATTTTGAATGATGTGGCATTAACTGCAGAGTGCCAATCGAAACAGTCTGGCCTCTCATTAGAGACCATAAATTAGCGATTTGCGAGCGATAAACCAGCGATAAATAAGTATATCAATATCGTGCCCGTGTGTGAGGAATGCGGCATTATAAATAGTTTTAGCTTGAGTCAGAAGAACCAACACCACTGTCGCCATTCCACCATTCAACCACTTGAACACTTTTTGTTTGGTTCCTGCTTTTTTTGTTTGTTTTTTTTTTCTTTTTTCCTTTTTTGGCGGTTGTCCAATGCGCGAACTGAAACCGGAGTGACTACAAATGTGGTTGAAATGTACGCGAAAAGCGGCAGACCGCAAAAGTAGCTGAACAAACACAAATGTGCCGGGCCAAATCGACAGAAAAAGCTGGGAACAAAACCAAGCCATAATATACAGACTGCGGGATACCCATTAATCGGATTGTGGATGTATGCTGGCATCTATAATGTGGAAAGAGTATAAATTGTAGATTAAAGTGTGATTTTCGAAGCGGATAAACAGGCAGAGGTATGTTGGATGCAAATATACCCTCGTATGCCTCGCGTAGCGGGTATAAAAATCATCAGGAAAGGAGGAAGGATGGGGGATAGGGTGTTTGTGGAGCAGAGGTAAACACTAATACAGGGGCGTCCGACAAATGTGACGGACATGGACATGTGTACCCCTCTGTTACACTCTTTCCCCACTCTGTCTCTCTCTCTATTTATATGTATATATATATGTGTGTACGAGTGGGTGTGTGTGTGGCAGAATATGCAAAATGCAAATACAAATACAAATGCAAACACAGATGCTAACTAGCCACAGCAACATGGCTGCACATCTATGACTGTGTGTGTGTTTGTGTGTGTGTGGAGGGGCTCCGCAATGGGGGGACTCATCGCTTAGACTGCTATGCAAACATATGAAAATGGAGATTTCCAGGATGGTCCATTTTGATGTATTTTGTACGGAAATTATGTTACAGTGCCACTCCACATGCTCTTGCATCGCCCAACAAGCCAGCAATTACGATGCTCCCATCCCCCCCTCACCCAACCACTTTCAGTGGCAAGCGATGAAAAAAGATAAAGGATAATAGCGTCGGATTGCCCAGAATTTTTCACATGAAACACTTGACTGTGAAAAATGCATTGCCTCTTGAATTAAATCAACAGCAACTCGAGCTGAAAGTTCCATGTACAAAAGCACCTCGTGTTCAGCTTCGAGTGGTCCAGGCCACATTATTGCCATTGGCAACGCATCCGCTTGGCCAGTACCAACCGTTTGCCACTCATTGTTGTCGAAATATAATTCATGGCATAGTCAGATGGGTTTCCTGGTGCATCCTTAGCCCCTCTGCATGGAAATTGAATACCGTACGAGTATGAGTATTCGATTTTCGAAATAAATGCTGTGGTCTGTTTGGAGCGATTATATTGGGTAGAGTAAATTGAAGAAGGCTTTAAAATGACTTCTTAATAA